GTACTTCTCATTTTCTATCTCATCCTCTTGGGATTTGGGGAATGCACACAACATGTTCAGCGTGTTTCTCAAGGTGCCAGGTCCAGCATTCGATCCATGCAGTTGGCCATGTGGAATATGACTCCTTTAACCACTAAACCATGGGGACTAGCCCTAAATTTTAAAGTTTTTGTTTTTTTTTAACCACTAGTATATGTATTTACATGTATTTAAATGCATACAATATCAATAAAAAATATTCTAATCTAGTAAAATATACATGACATATAATCACAATAACCAGCTTTAATTTTTTAAAAAGAATCATTTTATTGAACTTTATTTTATTTATGTATGTATTTATTTATTTTAATTTGACTAGAGGGGGACAGAGAGAGAGAAAGAGGGAAAGCGAGCCACCAGGTCCGGGACTTGAACTGCTGTTGGCCATGTGGGAATCCAGCGCCCTTAACCACCACACCACCTGCCAGCCCCTAGTTTTTGATCGATATTACTAACTACATTCACATTGCATACAGCCATCACTACTATTTATGTCCAGGTGACATAAAATCTTTAATTTTATGATGAAGGTAGCATTATAGAACTAAAATAATATAATTAACTGCTGAACATCTGGTGAAGACACAGAATAATGCAAATCCTCTATGTGTAGTAATTACTTAAGTGCCTCTTAAGCTCATCGAATGCCTTTCTTGTGTTGGCTCCTGCTCTTTTCCACTCACTGGGGCAAAGGCAAAGAACTGAGCAGCCTAATGGGCTCTGAGCTTTAACCCAGAGCTCCTGGAGAGTGATTTTCCCAATCCTGAGTTTTCATTTCTGGGGTTTCCTTCAAGCAGCGATGTCAAAGTAGACTTGGTAAGACAACACACAACCTAACAGTGACTTCTTCCAAGGCAGCAGCATCAACCACACATTCTCCTGAGCCCATGAGCGCATGCAAGCTCTCTGAACAAAAAACCACATTCTTCTCTTCATGAAATCATTTTTTGTCAGTGGTAAGAACATCTTCCAGATTTCTCATTGGATTCCACTCCAAGATGGTTCCAATTTAACTCTGTGTACATAGTTTTCCTCATTATAGTATTATTAACATAAGAAACATAAGACAAGGCCTTATGCTAAAGCCTTCTGAAATGAATACGACCTTTACCTCTATCTCTTTGCCTTCCCCTGTGTTCCTGGCCACCCCCACTTTTATGATCAAAAGAATAAAAAACAATTCCACCAACATTTCCTGTGTTTTTCCCTTGTTTTGTCTCTCTTCTACAGGGCCTGGGAAACCTGCGCAATTGTTCCTGAAAATACTAACCCAACTTTTTTCATTTCCACTAGCTAACCTTGATCGCTTTCCCTCTTTTATGCAACAATTTCACCTCTTAATTCCCCTAATGAACAGTGTTCCCAATTTAACATAGTGATCTAAGGAACAGATGAGGCATAGAAAGACATGCATTAGGTAGGTTCTCTGCCTTTAAGGAATTCTTAGCCTACCAGCCAAGACAGACATACAAACACATTATTACAATTTTATTATAATAGAGTCTGAAAGGGCACTAGTAGAAGTATATGCAGCACAGAGGAGGGAATGACCAACTCAGGCTGGCCAGGGACAGGGAAGGAAATGACCTGGTGGCCTGAAACCACCAGGGGAGTTCACAGGGCACTTCAGAACAAGCTGCAAAAGAGAAGGGATGACAAGAGTGAAGGCTGAATCAATATGCAAAGGCTCCAAGACTTTGTAGGAAAGTTCTTTCCTATTGTGCAAAAGCATTTCCATTTTCTGCAGCAAACCATCTGATCCTTTGAAAGACTGGAATTTTCAAGTCAGCAGGTGGTACAGAAGTTAAGGCAGCTGGATCCCACATGGCCAACTGCACTGTTCGAGTCTTGAATCATGCATCTTGAAAAATCACACCAAACACGTGTGTGCTTGCTCTAAATCCCAAGAGGAAAATGAAGGAGAAGGGATGGTGGCATGGTCATCCCCCCATCTCTCTCACTCTGTCTCTCTCCAGCAAACGCACGTATCCTATAGCAAAAACTATGGGGGGGGGGGTAGGTAAGACTATGGGGCCAGCAGGTGTCATGGTGGTTATGGTGCTGGATTCCCTCATGGCTGACCATGGTTTGAGTCTCAGATCTGGCAGCTTTCTTTCTTTCTCTCTCATCTCTCTCTAGTGAGTGCACTTGCCCTATAACAAATTAAAAATAATAAAATTAAATAAATATTTTTTAAAAGACTGTAATTTTCTTGGGACCAGCAGTTAGCGTAATGGCTATGTCACTGGACTCCCATGTAGTTGACCACGGTTTGCATCCTGGAGCCGTTGGCTTAAACTCACGCTGGGCACGTGTGCATGCGTGCCCAAGATCCTGAGAGGAGAAGGGATTTTGGCGTGGTCATCCCCTGTGGGGGGTGATTTCTCGCTTTCTGTCTCTCTGTCTCTCTCTGTCTGGTGAGCACACACACCCTATAGCAAAAACCTCTCAAAAAAAAAAAGTCATAAGACTGTAATTTTCTTCAAAATTTTCTAGGATTAATATATAATTCTTAAATATAATTCTAGGTTATATTTCATCCCTTAGTCTTAAGAGTTTGTTCCATTTTACTTGATATTTTTCAATTCCTTTGTTTAGAAATCAGAGATGGACAAAGTAATGACAAATGGTTGAGATGATGGATATGTTAATTACCCTGATTTAATAATTACACATTGTAATCTTCTACTGAAAAATCTCATTGTGCTCCAATTATACACATAAATATGTATAATTATTATATGTCAAGTTTTTAAAATACAAATAAAAGTCAGAGTTGATAGTTAAAATACACACACACAAAAAAAGTAAAACCAAATGAGTCACAGAATTGCCCCATGTTCAGGCAGGGGCTGGGCTGTTTACAAGGAAGCCCAGCTGTTCCTTCAAAGCCCAGGATTACTCTTTGTTTTTATTTCTATTCATAATGGTGAAGAAACTATATTGTAAGAATATTAATTTAAACCCTAAATATGATGAAAATTGGAGGAAATGGTTTCATCCTGGTTTATATGACTTTTCTGTTGAATGCTTTATTTTAGTTTGAGAAGTTGGCATGCATACCCACGGCTGGCGGATTTCTGTTCCATAGCAGTGTGAGGGGAGGAGGGGATTTCCACTGACCCCTCTTCCTCGTCTGCTTCTCAACCTCCTTCCCGTATTCAGGCAATGAGCAGCAGTTCTTTGCCAGACGCTGCTGACCGCACTGACCAACTCTGCCCCATACCTAGAATTAATTTTGTACGTTTTGTTATTCAAGAGATAATCAAAAGAAAAGTCTATTTCTAGATTGTAATTATTGCTTGTTTTCCATAAAATGAGAAATACTATTACAGAAAATAAAGTTATTTAAATTAATGCTAGAATAGTAGTAATGTTTTCCCAAATAACACACTCTTTTACCATTCTAAGGACTGCACAGATAGTACTATGATGTAGTTTATGGAAATAGAAGTGTTTTCCCTCATTCAAGGGATGTTTCGATTATACGGTAATTTCACACTTAAATTTCTTCTATATAATTTTTATTTATTAAAAGAATTTCTGGATTCCTTTACTTTTTTTTCTTTCTTCTTTCTTCCTCTCTTTCTCTTTTGTTTATGACAAAGGGCACATGTGCTTGCTGGAGAGAGTCAGAGAAAAAGAGAGAGAGAGAAAGAGAGAGAGAGAGGGAAGGGAAAAGTAAGAAACCACCTTCCATGGAGAATGACAATGCCACAATCCCTTCACCTCCATTTCTCTTGCATTTCAGGATTTAGGACACTCACACTCATGTGCCCAGCGTGTTTCTTTCAAGCTTGCAGGTCTAGGATTTAAATCACACAACCATGTAGGATCCAGCTCTCTTAACCAGCACACCACCAACTGGCCCTCTTTACTTTTCCAATTTTTTTTTTTTTTTTTTTGGAGAGATTTTCACTGTAGGGCGCGTGCGCTCGCCAGACAGACAGAGAGAGACATAGAGACAGAAAGCGAGAAATCACCCCCCAGGGGGGATGGTCACGCCGCAATCCCTTCTCCTCCATTCTCCTCTCGGGATCTTGGGCGGGCACGCACGTACAAGCACCCGGCGTGAGTTTTAAGTCACCGGGTCTGGGACACGAACCGCGGTCGACTACGTGGGAGTCCAGCGACATAGCCATTACGCTAACTGCTGGTTCCCTACTTTTCCAATTTTTTCACTCAAGCATTTGAGTGCTATAAGAAGTGCTATAAGTAATTGTATTTTTAGCTTCATAAAGAAAGCTCTTGGTATTTCCTCTTCAAGAAATGCCATTTCTCCCATTTTTAATTTTTATATCTGCACAAATTTTATTTTCAGGAAGTTATGTATCTTGTTCAGAGTCATAAAAACTATTGGTCTTTCGAATTTTGTTTCTTTTGTTCTTGTCTTATTATGTATTACTCAAATAAAATCCTAAAAACATAAAACTTTTTGGGCCAGTCAGTGACTTGGTAGTTAGGGCAGCTGGATCCCACATGGCCAACTGTGTGATTCAAGTCCCTGACTTGACAGCTTGAAAAACACACCAGGTGCATGTGTGCACATGCCCAGAATTCCAGGAGGAGAATGGAGGACGAAGCATCACCACAGGGGGGTAATTTCTCACTCCTCCCCCAACCCTGCCTCTCTTCTGGCAAGAGCATATGCCCTATAACAAACTAAATACATACATACATACATACATACATACATACATAGAGCTACCTTAATTGAAAAAAAAATTAAGGCATTGTATTTCTGCTACAACACATAATAGGCATTTACCAGTTCATAGGTCACTTTTGATTTTTCATGAAATGAATTTAGAAAATATATAATACATTTTAGTGTAACTTTATTTGAGATTAAGCTATATGGATATTTTTCTTATTCATTAGTATCATCACATATAAATAGGAATAATGTATTATTCAAACTTAAGAATGAAAATTTATCTTTGCTTTTGATATTTCAGCTTCATCGAACCCAGAAGTCATCCAGATAAATTCAATTCTGGATATAGTATCAAAAGTGGAAGACTATTACCTTAAAGGCTATATTGTTGGGGCTGTTCATCCTGTTATACAACCCACAGGACAGCAAAAACACCTGCCAGCAAGTTACTTATATAGAGTGGTGCTGTCACGCTTGAAATTGAGGTAAGCACGGGGCTCTAGGAAACAGTCACACTAAGAGCATGAAAGTGACAGTCTTCGTCTCAAAGATAAGAAATTTTGAACAAGGTGATGGAGAATAAAGGACGGTTGGGGATTTTGGGTTAAGGCACTTTTTCAAGTGGTTGAACCTGGACTGAAGCAAAGAAATTCACATCTCCTTCCCCAAAACTCCCGATGATATTAGCTCCTTGGAGACGAACAGGTCCTCGACGAGGATGTCCGTGAATGAAAGGAAAGCAAAATAGACTCTAGAGGCCCCTGAGAGCTCCTGTAACAAGCTGAGCCGAAGAGGAAATAGCAGTTAGCTACAAAGCCATCCCTGAAAGAGCTGACCACCCCTGTGAGACCCTTTCACTGAGCTTTTGAACTGTCCTATCTTGTTCCATTAACAGTGCAACTCTCTCTACTTTCTTAAACTTTTATAACTATGCCAAGTTCTTACAACTGGATAGACCTTTTGTCTACTTTTCCCCAAAAATAAGATGTAAAAGCCATTCTTTGGGGAACCAGCAGTTAGCGTAATGGCTATGTCGCTGGACTCCCACGTAGTCGACCGCGGTTCGTGTCCCCGACCCGGTGGCTTAAAACTCATGCCGGGCGCATGTGCGTGCATGCCCAAGATCCTGAGAGGAGAATGGAGGAGAAGGGATTGCAGCGTGACCATCCCCCCTGGGGGGTGATTTCTCGCTTTCTGTCTCTATGTCTCTCTCTGTCTGTCTGGCGAGCGCACGCGCCCTACAGTGAAAATCTCTCCAAAAAAAAAAAACAAAAAACATTCTTTTGTTTGTTTGTTATAGGATGCATATACACTTACTGAAGAGAGACAGAGAAAGAGAGAGAGAGAAAGCAAGAAATCACTCCCAGGGTATGGCCATACCATAATCCCTTCTCCTCTCTTCTCCACTTGGGGTTTTGGACATGCATGCACACCCACCTGGCATGATTTTCAAGCCAGATCTGGGACTCGAACCATGGTCAGCCATGTCGTAGTCCAGCACCTTAACCACCATGCCACCTTCTGGTCCCCCCCACCATTTTTTAAATAGCTACTTTTCCAAACAATAGTGCAACTTTTTTGGCAGCCCAGATTATAAATTTGATGGTTTTCATAGTAAATACTGTTGCCCTTTCCAATGAATAATGAAAGTAACCCGACCAATGTCTTAAATTAACACATTAATTTTTTTTCAAGTTTATTTATTTCTTCCATAAGCAAGAGAGACAGAGAGACAGAGACAGACCCCCATAAGGGTCTTAACCCAGCCATCCACCCCCAGCCTTAGTCAGCCTCAACCATAGGCATGTGCGGGCCCAGCATACTCAGGGAGGTCTTTGGATGTGAACCCAAAACTTTCCCATGTGAGTCCCTCAGAGTGTCTTGTCTTATCACTGCTCTACCATCCGGCCCCCAACACATTAAATCTTTAAACTATATATACATATAGATATATATACACATATACACACATATACACATATATACACGCACACACACTCACACATACATGTATGTATGTATATATGATGTATACCAAAGGGCTCGTGCATTCATGTGAGAGAAAAAAAGAGAATTTAAGAGAGAAAGCACCCTGCAATCCTCATTCCCTCCATTTCTCCATCCCTTCAGGATCCTAGGCTTATGTACACATGCCTGGCATGTTTTTCCAGCTTCCAGGGTCAGGATTTGAGCCATAGACCTTATGCGAATCCAACTCTCTCTGCACAGCACTTAAATGCTGTACTACAAGGCCAGACCCAATACTTTTAAATATTTTTTTACATAACTTCTCATCTATATTAACATCATCTCAAAAAGCAGGGTAAAAATCGCCTTCTCTTGGGGCTGGCAGGTGATGTGGTGGTTAAGGGTGTTGGACTCCCACATGGCTGACCACAGTTCAAGTCCCAGACCTGGTGGCTCTGTCTCTCTCTCTCTTTTTCTCTCTCTCTCCCCTTCTCTGGTCAAACTTTAAATAAATTAATTAATATTTTTTAAAAGTTATCTTCTCTTTATAGTGATAGATCAATCACAGTGACTTTAAGTATGAAAGGTCTAAACAGAGAAAGAAAAATAAAATTAAAGGAAAATAAGCTAAAAAAAGAAGAGAAAGAAAGGTTCATGTAAAATTCTAGGTAGGGGCCAGGCAGTGGCGGGGTAGCTAAGGCAGCTGGATCCCACATGGTCAACAGCACAGTCTGAGTACCAGACTCAGTGGCTTGGAAAACACACCAGGTACCTGTAACACGTGTGCCCAAAATCCTGAGAGGAGAATGGAGGAAGAATTGCAGCCTGGCCTTTCCTCCCTGGGGGTGTTTTATCCCCATTTTTTCTCTCTTTCTCTCTCTCTCTCTCTCTCTCTCTCTCTCTCTCTCTCTCTCCTGTGAGCACACACACCCTGTAGCAAATTAAAAAAAAAAAAAGTTCCAGGTTTTAAAAAATTATTTATTTAGTTCCATTTATTATTGCTATTTGCTATAGGGCACAAGTGCTCACCAGAAAGAGAGAAAGTGAGAAAGCAAGCTGCTAGGTTCAGGACTTGAACCATATATTTGTATCTCGCATATACAAGAGCCTGTGTTTATAAGCCTGTGCTCACGCTTCAACTTTCACCAGATATGAAGGCTCATCAAATATTTGCTAGTTCAAGCATTACTAAACAAACATGACATTTTTCCACAGTAATAATGCTTATGTCCTAATTATATATATATATATATATCAGAAAAGAAGAAAAAGGAAAAAAGGCGAAATGTAGCTGCATTTAAACAGGATTTTTACTGGTGGTATTGTACAATAATGAGGTCTGACAATGATCTAAAATCTTTTCTATTTTGGTTGGAACTGCCATCTTCCAGTTCATTCACCAAAATGACAAACAAGAGAAAGAGGAGAGAGGCACCCAATATACGTTTTTCAGGTCTTTTAAAAAACATGGAGTGGTTCTTTTGACAACATACACACAAATCTACAAGAAAGGTGATATAGTAGACATCAAGGGAATGAGTACTGTTCGAAAAGGAATGCCCCACAAATGCTACCATGGCAGAACTGAAGCATCTACAGTGTTACCCACTATGCTGTTGGTGTTGTTGTAAGCAAACAAGGGCAAGATTCTTGCCAAGAGAATTAACGTGCGTATTGAGCATATTAAGCATTCTAAGAGCAGGATGGCTTCCTAAAATGTGTGAAGGAAAATGACCAGAAAATGAAGGAAGCCAAAGAGAAAAGTACCTGGTTTCAACTGAAGCCAGACTGTCCCACCCAGAGAAGCACACTTTGTGAGAACCAATGGAAAGGAGCCTGAGCTTCTGGAACCTATTCCCTGTGAAGTCATGGCATGATAACAAACTCTGGTCTATATAATAAATAAATAAATAAAATCATTTCTCATAAATTTGATTTTTAACACATTTATTTATTTATCTATTTGTTATGATTTATCAAGCCAAAGTGTCCAGGATTCGAACCATGGTCAACCAGGTGGGAATCCAGCACACCGTAGCCACTATGCCACCTACTGACTCTCTCATAAATTTGTTAAAAGAACAAACATGAAGACATGAACTTTTTCCATTTTTTTAAGAATTATTTTATTTTGGGGCTGGCAGGTGGAGTGGTGGTTAAGGGCGCTGGACTCCCCACGTGACCTACCACAGTTTGAGTCCGAACCTGGTGGCTTGCTTTCTCACTTTTTCCTTCTCTCACTCTCTGGTCAAATTAAAATTAATTAATTAATTAAAAAGATGTTTTTAAATAATTATTTTATTCTATTTATTTTCATTATTATTACTAATTTTATTTGACCAGAGAGTGAGAGAAGGAAAAAGTGAGAAAGCAAGCCACCAGGTTCAGGGCTCAAACCACTCTCAACGGCATGAGAATCTAGTGCCTTAACCACCGTGCCCCATGATGGCTCCAGTTTTCCCTTTTAAATTAGACATTAAATTAATAGACATTTAAATTAAGGAAATGTAAGTGAATAGAAGTTACTGTGTTTCCTCTGGCATTTTTATGCAAAAAGATAACTCTCAGGCTTGAAATAACAAAGTAGTATTACTTTGACTGTATGTGTGAGTTACTCATTCATTTTCACATGAGCGCCTTCACAGAAAAGCATCCACCAGCTTCCAACCATGAACATGTCTTCTCTGTTGCAGCCCGAAGCATCCAGCAGCACCCAGTGGACAAAGACGCCCACGGCTTGTAATTGAGGAGTGTCCTCTAACTTATGAGACCCAAACAAACGACATAGCAAAAGAGCTGATAGAAAAGGTACTGAATGTAGACATTTTTTTCATGGGATGTTCAGAAACTTTTGGTATTTCTTCATCGATTTTCTTTTTTACTTTAAAAAGAATAGGAGGGCCAGCCCATGGTGTAGTGGTTAAGGCAGCTAGATTCCCCTACAGCCAACAGTGCAGTTCGAGTCCTGGATACCAGGGCTTGATAAACATCGCCAGGCGTATGTGCATGTATGCCCAAAATTTGAAGGGAGGGGGAAATGGGGAGGAGGGAACTACGACATGACAACGGTGGTTGGGGGAGTGCATTCTCATTCTCTCTCGTCCCAGTAAGCACACTCACCCTCTGGCAATAAATAAATAAATAAATAATGGAGTGATATGTGACTTATGCTGCCACCATTTAAAGCAGATTGAAGCACTTGTACCAAATTGTACAGGCTAAAATAGAAATGCAAGCCAATGAAAAACAATGAGGCGGGTAGTGAGAAAGTGGTTATGTCACTGGACTCCAACCTGATCAGCCATAGTTCAAGTCCTAGGCCCGGTGACTTGAAACTCACGCAGGATTCATGTGCATGCATTCCCAAAATCCCAAGAGGAGACTGCAGGAAAAGAGATTGAGGTGTGGCCGTCTCCCCCGAGGAGTGATTTCTCACTTTCTGTCTCTCTTCTTTCTCTGTCTCTCTGGTGAGCACACATGCCCTACAGCAAAACTCTCTCTCTCAGAAAAGAAAAAGACTAGAGATACCAGAAGTAAACTTAAACACATATAAGAAGTCTAATAACAAACCTGATCAATAAAATGGAGGAATAACCAGTACTTAGTAACGGGAAAGTGGACAATTGTTCTGTAGAATAGATTCCACACATTTCAAATGAGATGAACAAGTCATTTTCCCCTCATAGGGCACATGCACTCATCGAAGAGAGAAAGAGAGGGAACATGAGAAATCATCCCCCAGGGGGGAATGTCATGTCACAATCCTTTCTCCTCCATTCTCTTTTCAGGTTTTGGGGCATGCACACACACACACCTGGCATGATTTTCAAACCTCTGTGTCTGGGATTTGAACCACCATTGGCCATGTATGAATCCAGCACCTTAACCTCCATGCCATCTGCTGACCCCATTGAACAGATCATTTTTTTAAATATTAAAAATCTGGGACCAGCAGTTAGCATAACGGCTATGTCGCTGGACTCCCACGTAGTCCATCGTGGTTTGAGTCCCAGACCTGGCAGCTTAAACTCACGCTGGGCACATGTGCGTGCGTGCCTAGGATCCCGAGAGGAGAATGGAGGAGAAGGGATTACGGCGTGGCCATCTCCCCTGGGGCGGGGGGGAGTTTCTCGTTTCTCTGTCTCTCCCTGTCTGTCTGGCGAGCGCACGTGCCCTATAGCAAAAAAAACTCTCCAAAAAAAGAAAAAAAAAAATCTAGGGCCAGCAGATGACGTGATGGTTACATCACTGGACTCCCCCATGACTGACCACAGTTCAAGTACTGGACCCAGCAGCTTCAAATTCACAGTGAGTGTGTGTGTACAAATGCCCAAAATCCCAAGAGGAGACTAGAGGAGAAGGGACTGCAGTGTGGCCATCTCCCTGAGGAGTGATTTTTCACTTTCTGTCTCTCTGTCTCTCTCTGTCTCACTGGTGAGCACATGCACCCTATAGCAAAAATCTCTCTAAAAATAAATAAATAAATAGTAGAATAAAATATTAAAAATCTGAAGGAAAATGGAAGAGTAAGCATGTTTGATTATGAGTAGATCGAGGAGTTAAAATATATAAAGAGAATTTATGTGCCAGGAAAACTCCGCTTTAAAAAAAAAAAAGAAAAAAAGAATCAAGAGGAAATCTGCATCACACGTGTCCTATGAGAGCTTTGTTTTCAGGATATGTAGGAAGTAAATTTAAGTACCTGAATGTGCTGTCTAGTCTTACATGGACAGAGTCCACGACTGCAAATACAAAAGGAAATTTAAATAAGAAAGAGTCAACTGGCAACAGGTTCACCCTAATCATTTTTTTTTCTTTTTTTGGAGAGGTTTTTGCTATAGGGCACGTGCACTCACCAGACAGACAGAGACAGACAGAGAGACAGAAAGCGAGAAATCAACCCCCAGGGGGGATGGCCACGCCGCAATCCCTTCTCCATTCTCTTCTCAGGATCTTGGGCATGCACGCACATGCGCCTGGCATGAGTTTAAGCCACCAGGTCCAGGACTCAAACCACAGTCGACTACGTGGGAGTCCAGCGACATAACCATTATGCTAACTGCTGGTCTCGCACCCTAATCATTTTTAATGTAAGTTAAAAACTGAGGGACTAGCAGATGGCGTATGGGTTACCTTACTAGACTCCCACGTAGTCACCCATGGTTCAAGTTCTGGACCCAACTTAAAACTCATGCCGGGAGACCATCAAATAGTGTAATGGTACATTGCTGGACTCCCACATAGTTGACCATGGTTCAAGTCCCAGACCCAGCCACTTAAAATACACCAGGTGCATGTGAGTGCGTACCCAAGATCCCAAGAGGAGAACGGATTGTGGTATGGCCATCTCCTCTGAGAAGGTGATTTCTTGCTTTTGATCTCTCTGTCTCTCTTTGTCTCTCCAGCAAGTGCCTGCACCCTATAGTAAAATCTATCGAAAAAAAAACAAAAAACAAAAAAACAAACCTCATGCCAAGCACATGTGCATGTGTGCCCAAGACTCTGAGAGAAAAATGGAGGAGAAGGGATTGTGGCATGGCCATCCCTGCTGGAGGATGATTTCTTATTTCTCTCTCTCTGTCTTTCTCTGTCTCTCCAGCAAGCACACACCCCCATAGCAAAATAATCTCTCAAAAACAATCAAACAAAACAAACAAACAAAAACAAACAAACAAACAAACAAAAACACAAGAATTAATACTTCACCAGTATTTAGCTGGGAAATTAAATTGAAAAATTTTTTTAATTACCAGAGGATGTGGGTTCTTGCCAGAGGGAGACAGAGAGAGGAAGGAGAAAGCACTCCCAGTAGAGCATGTTCAAGCTGCAATCCCTTCTTTTCCATTTCTCTATCCCATTAGGATTTGGGGCATGCATAGGCACGCGCGCGCGCACACACACACACACACACACACACACACACACACAGTCACTGGTTAGATTCATCGTGGGTAGGTAAGGCACTACCACTGTGGTAACCTCTGTCATTGTGGGGGGTCCGTTACGGCCAA